TGTCTTCCTTCAGGGCTGGTTCCAATCATTATAAAGAGGGAGAGATCAATCCATATGCTTCTTCTTTGTGAAGAGTGCCATGCTTTCCCCCTCCTATTTAATATCTACATGAATCACTATGCATGTTATCACTGGTTTGGGGTTCCGTATGCTGTTGTTATCTATTCTGTATTTAGACTCCAGGCTATTGAAGTTTTGGTCCAATGTCTGTAGGTTGTGTGGACTTGAGTGGGGATGAACTGTCTTGAGTCCAATCCTACCAAAACCAGGTGGCTGCAGATATTAGGGCTGGAGCTGGGGATATTTCAGCTTCAGCTTAGATGGAAATGCACTTCTCCTTTCAAGGGTGATGCACAAGTTGTGGCTCTGGCTAAGAAGGTCCTTGCACAGCTTCCTCTTGTTTACTAGTTCCACCCTTTCCTAGACTGAGAAGCCTTCAGATAGATACTCATATTCTAATCATTTCACAGTTTGACTATTGCATGTGTTGTATATGGGGCTATTGGAAGCAACTGTTCCACAATCCAGTGGCATGGGTAGTAATGGGTGTGCCTTAGTATGCGTATGTGAACCTTTCTTCATGAACTGCAATGGTGGCCATTTTGTTCCAGGCATGATTCAAGGCACTGGTTATAACATCTATGGAGATTCTCAGTCATCCAGGTCATAGTTATCCCAAAGGTGCTTTTTCACGAGGCAACTGTACTTTGTTGTTTTTCTTTGAAGACGTTTCGCTTCTCATCCAAGTCAGAGCTGAAGAATCTTCTTGGATGAGAAGTGAAATGTCTTCAAATAAAAACAAGAAAGCCCAGTTGCCTTGTGAAAAAGCACATTTGGGACACTGGTCCCAAACCTATGAAGCTTTACATGGCTTGGGCCTGTTTGGGAGACTGCCTATCTCCCATGGTATCTGACTCAGTGGGCAGCCTGCCAAGTCTAGAGTGCTCTGGGTCCCATCTTTTGACACCCAAGAAGAGTGTTTATTGTGGCACTTGCCTTCTAGAATGAAGTTCTATAATCCACTAACTCTCAACCTGATGATATTCTGGAAAGCATTAGGTTCCTGGTTGTTCCCTCAGATCCCTGGGCTAGGGTGGATGGAGCCCCTGAGAGATATGTTCTGTGTATGTTTGCTGGACTGCCATCTTGTTTTTTTGTTCTTTTTTACTTCTTCATTTATTTTGTTTCTGACTTATCATATTGTATATTATTGTTGTTCCATTATTAGCTTCCCAAAGTCTTTTAGAGTTGGGCAGCCCCTAAATTGAATAAATTAAATTAAATTATACTTACTTCAAACATATTTTCACACATCTTTCTTAATGCATGCTATATTTTTTAAATATAAAACCAAGAGCAATAGTTGCCAGCAAAATCCAGATGTCCAAAATTAGACTATCCTTTATGAAATGCCCATATTTTGAGGTAAAAGAATTCAACAGCCTTTGCATTTGTATATCTTTTTGCATTGTTTTCCCATGTCACTTCAGAGCCAAATCATTTTTGCTATCTTCCACCCTAGGAGTTGGCCATTTTATTATTTATGCTAGTCTTTACAACATATACTGTTGCTGCTCTCCAGTTTAATAATAATTATGCCTTTGGTACTGATCATAAGAAGTGGAGCATGTTGCCTTCTCACTTCATTGTCCAACTATAAAAGACTTTGGGAGGCTAACAATGTAACAATAATAACATACAATACGATGAGTCAGAAACAAAATAAAGAAGGGTCAAAATATCCTTTCTAAAATAATGCATACAAAGCCACATGGCTGTACAATTGCAACTTTCAATCTAACATTTGCTTTATTTGATGTCAGAAATCCTGCTAAAATCTTTATGCTGTTAGCATCTTGCAGAATTAGGCTCTCAAATTCATCCCACAGTCTGCATTAAAAGATGCAACCCTTTCCAATTACTCATCCCCTTAATATAGAATAGGACAAAAATGAACTCTTTTGTGGAGGAAATGCAGTTAGCAGGGTTGACGGAGGGTAAAAATGAATCTAAATGAGATGGGTTGCAGAGCATAAGATTACAGCATAAAACCTGAATGTCTTATATAACTTCAGTTTAAAACAGTGGTGAAAGCACTCAGCAAACAGCAGAGCCGGCAGGAAAAGAGAAGAATAATGCCTGTAATGGAAGAAGAGTGCTTTTGGTTTGGGAACATCTTTAGCTTTTTTTAAATGAAGTTCATTTAAAGTTACACAGAATTATTTGAGACATTTACTTTTGACAATATATATATATATATGTATGTATGTATGTATGTATATGTATATGTATATGTATATGTATATGTATATGTATATGTATATGTATATGTATATGTATATGTATATGTATATGTATATGTATATGTATATGTATGTATATATAATGATTGGAATTTCCCAGGTGTTCATTGCCTTGATGATATTACTGTCACTGAATTTGGACTTTAAGATCTTCACTCTTCTGATGTATTCACTACTAACTTCTTGACTTCAATGTGCTTGATGTTGTTAGCCTGAAGATTGCCTAGATATTTGTGGTGATCTTCTTCATCAAAACTCTTGATGTTTTTACTACTTATCTGACCCAGATTTTGTCTCTGTAAACTGCTTAGAGAGGGCTTATGATGAAGCAGTATATAAGTCTACATGCTATCCCCTCCTGAAGGTAAGGATGGCACATTTGTCCTGTCCAAACTCCATTGCAATATCTTGACTGTATATATAGACAGCGCTGAAAACAGTGATTCTATTTCACATGGTACTTTCCCATTCAGCTTCTGATCATCCATTTACAGGATGTGAGTATAACCTGGTCTACTTGTTCAGTATTGTTGACAGATGCAATGACAAACAGTAGTGGTGATAGTGAATCTCCTTAAAGATTCCTCTCCTGATGTTAAATTCTCCCAGTCAATCACCATTCACCAGCAACTGTGCCTTCCATTGTGCATTGATCTTTGCACAAAAGTTCTGATTTTTCTACTGATTCCTGTTAGTTCTAGGCATTTGATTATCCAATCATGTGGCAGGGAGTTAAATGCCTTCTTATAATCAATCCAAACTATGTTCAAGTTGATTTTCCTTATCTTACAATTTTCCAAAGTAATCTTGTCAATTAGGAGCTGATCTTTTGTCCCTCGGCTGTATGAGCAGTTTTCTTTCTGCTCAGATGAAACAGCTTATTTTCAAGTAGCTGCAGTGGGCCTGCATCAGCTTCACTTTTAAATTTGTTGCTAAGCAGATAATTGGCCTGTAGTTGCCTGGTGTATCTTTTTGTTAGATCTTTTATTATCAGTAGTTTCTCAGATGTTAACCTATCCTCAGTTTCACTCTTTGCAGCAGAAACTGTTGTTAGACAGTTTGGCAATAAGTAAGTGTAGGCTAGTCAGATGTTTCAACCAGAACAATGCAGTTATCTTCATTGATGCTGACCAATTCTTGATCTTCCTTACTCTTTTCTCCACCATTTCTGCTGTTATTATAAGTTCTTTCAACTCCCCCCCCCTTTTTATCTTCTTCATCCAAGCTGCACTGTATTGTCTTTGTATTGTCGCATACCTGCGCTCAGAACTGTACTTCTTTTTCTTTGCAGCTATTGATTAGTTCATTACAATTTTTTTGTTGGTGGATTGGTAGAAAAGTTTCTAATTTGATTGAAATTGGGGATTCTGTCTGTAGCATGCATTTCAAATTTCATCTCTGCTAATTTTCTTGGCTATGGCTGTTTTCTTAATATTCCTCATCTCTAGGTGGAGTCTAGGACAATTGATTGTGGGGACATTTTCGTGCCCACAAATAAAATTAATCAAATTTTAGCAATGCCTGGGACACTCTGAGTAATGTGAATATAAAATTGGAAGACTTGATCCATAAGTAATAAGATAAATCTGGGTACTATACCTTAGTTATAGGTAATAGGTTAGATAGATGTTCTTGTGATCCTCAAGATGTCATGTGATCAAACCCTTTTTTTATGTGCACTGTATATGAGAGATGTGTAAAAAGGAGAAAGACTTACCACCCATAAAGCACTTAACAGAATAATAGAGTTGGAAGGGACCTTGGAGGTCTTTCTAGTCCAACCCTCTGCACAAATAGGAGACCCTATATCATTCTGGATAAATGGCTGTCCAATCTGTTTTTAAAAGCCTCCAGTGAGCACCCACAACTTCTGAAGGCAAGTTGTTCCACTGGTTAATTGTTCTCACTGTCAAGAAATTTCTGAAAGTCTGGGGACCAGCTATTTCTGCTTGCTCGGTTCAGTTGATAGGGTAGACACCCTCCAGTCAATCAAACTGATGATCAAATGGTGTCACCTGCCAAAACCCTAAAAGAAGCCCTTCTCTATTTTGCCTGTCTGCTGGAATATCATCTTCATAGAGATCTGTCTGATACACCTTGACTATCTTTGAAAAGTCTTTGAAAGCTTGATTTATTCCCCAAGACTTGGATTAGGATGGCAGTAAGAGCCTTTTAAGATGTTTTATGGTACTTGCATGTTTTCTTCTGAGGCATACATTTTTTGTTCATTTTTAAAAAATGTCTGTTGCTCTTAATGTCGCATGTTGCTCAGAACCTCTGGAGTTGGGGCAGATTTCTAACATACATATATGCATGACATATTTAAATGATTACTTAAGAATGCATTGGCATATTTTGCAGGTATCATTGACAGCACGCAAGTGGAGCAGAGGCAGGTTGTAGCAGTGACTGGCGATGGAACTAATGATGGACCAGCTCTTAAAAAAGCTGATGTTGGCTTTGCAATGGTATATTTCAGTTTGTTTCTGGTTTCGATTTGATCTATTACTGTGGGTGAATGCATTGCATTTGGAATTTGGGTTAAATATTCCCCCAAAGTTTCTTTTAATGATGAAAAAGTTTTCTCAATGATTCTTTCAATCTGCTATTATGCTGCAATATATTTTAATAATATTAGTTCATATTATATTTTGGCATTACTTGGATTTTCTAAATGGTTTTCTAAAATATGTCCACTGGAAGAGCAGTTGGGTAATAGCTAAAACTTCAGCTCTGAGCAATATGCCAGATCACAAACAGATTCCAGTATGCTTGCCATCTGCTGTACAAAGTCTATTGAAGTGAGCTAGTCCAAGAAATTACTTTCACACTCTTTTTGGATCTGATCACTATTTTATTCATCAACAGATATTTAAGGATAAAGTTTTCTGAAAAAAACTTCCTTTTTTATGACCCTATTTGGGTACTCATCCAAACCAATTTTGTATTACTCCTTCTAGTGAATTACTGTTGGTGTCTCTTCATTTTTCAGGGTATTGCAGGAACAGATGTGGCAAAGGAAGCTTCTGATATTATCCTCACAGATGATAACTTCAGTAGTATAGTGAAAGCTGTAATGTGGGGCCGTAATGTTTATGACAGTATCTCTAAGTTCCTGCAGTTCCAGCTTACCGTAAATGTGGTGGCTGTGATCGTGGCTTTCACTGGCGCTTGCATTACCCAGGTAAGGCTGAGAGTAAACTAAAGAGAGACGTGCCATTATTGGATCCAGACTATGCAACCCAATATCAACTCAAGGTCCACTCTTTCTCACTTTTTCTTTCCCTTGTCTTCTTCCCCTAACTTGTTATCTCTTTCCCTTGCCTCACCTTCATCCAGTTGGATCCTCCCCCCCGACTGTCTTCTCTTTCTTTTCCTTTTCTAATGCCATTGCAGCTCTCTGCGTTCCATCTTCATGTTGTCAGCCTTCCCATGCTGTATTTTATAGAAAATTTGTTTTAATCAATATTTTCTTCTGACAGATACATACACACAAAGACTTTTTTTACATATGCCAGTTGTAAACATGTGAAATATGGTATCATGATTTTCAAAATTTGTGGAGCAGAGAAGAGTCACTCTCTCTCTCTCTCTCTCTCTCTTTCTCAGGGTGTGTGTGTTTTATTTTATTTATTTATTTTATTTATTAAATTTATATACCGCCCTATCTCCCTTGCGGGACTCAGGGCGGTGAACAGTTTGTATGTGTCCCTGTGTATGTATATACACAGTGCATTGTCTATAGAAGCTTGTAACAAAATATACCTTTGAAAACGTAGTGCAGTTATTCACAAAGCACATATTGTTCACTCTGGTGCAACAGGAAAATTCAGCCTCACGGAGCAAATTATGAATAAGTCATTAGGTGTACTGTAAAGAATAAGTTTACCTTGTCATCATGATATGGCCAAGTGAAACCTGAGGCAGTCTCTTTTGGAAGCTGCAACATTGAAACTCCTCCCAAGTTACTCTGCTAAATTTTTCAAGGTGTTCAAAGGTTGTAACTATTGATTTCTTCAGGGGTATTAGTCCCTCTGAGTAACAAAACCTCAGAGGAAGCACTACAATTAAAAACATGCAGGGGTGGGAAAAGCCAGGTCAACATTTACAATAAGTAATATTTGGTTACACTATGCAACACAAATAAGCAAATAAAAACCAAGAGAGGAATACTTTAGAGAAAAGAATGTACTTCTTTGACTCACTCAGAATAGATTTCTGTCTTGTTTACTGCTAGGTTTGCACAATATGCTAAGCCAAAACCCAACGAACCACATTTTAATTATCCAGTCATTGTATATTTTAATGATTTAAGAAGCTTGGACTTCATCTATTTTTCCATGGCTTTAGTTCGTATGTAAAAGGATGTTATTGCTGGGAGGATTAAAATATATTGAATGAACACATCAGAAAACAATTGCATAAATCACAATAAAGCTCAGCAGAGCCTTCATTCATCTTTCCCTGTATATATTTCCCTATATATATGGGAATAATTCTTTCCACCAATCAGGAGGCTGATAAATGTCTCTCTTACTCATTCCTTTCTAAGAATCTAGACCAGGGACGTCCAGCTTTGGCAACTTTAAGATTGTAGACTTCAGTAGAAATTTCATTACACCAAGTACCAAAAACTAATGTGTGTTCAATGCCATGATAGTGGTACAGAATGAGCTTTTATGTTTGACTGAACTGTGCAGAATAGTAGACAATTATTAGAGTCACCTTAGCAACATGCAGTGATTGGTACTGTGGAATAGTGAGAATGCTGTGCTATCCAAAGCAACAGCTGACAATTGCACATGTGCAATTTAGAGGATGGATCAAAGTCAGAAATTTGCTTTTCATTACATACTTCTGTGGTTCTTTTGGATTTTGCATATGGGGTGAGATCAGCATTTAAAATTGAATACTTCCAGAAATATTTTTTAACTGTTTGGAATTCTAACTTGATAACTTCAATTCAAAATATTCACCATTCACACACAAGGTCACATTGCTCAGTGAAATTTATCTTCCTGCTTTCAGAAGAGAAGCAGCAGCAAAGGTGCTACAAATTATATTCTAACTTCTGAGCATGCTTGATTGGTGCAGTCCATACTGTAATCTTTTTCATAAATCCTAGCTTTTTTCTCAAGGAAACAACTTGATTTCTTCCATAGTTACTGGGTTGTACATCTTGGGAGTAGTAGTCCAAAATACCTGCAAGAATATTATATATGTGCCTATTTACCTTAAGGTGCATAAAATCACAAGAAAATAGGTAATTAGGAGAGATAGTTCCCATTTTTCCCTTCCTCATATGGCTTCCCAATATTTTTTGGATGATTGGTGAATCTATAGATCACATTTGGATGAAAAGTGAAATTTATAAAAACTGTTGAATGAATGGAAAACTGCTTATATATATAACACATGGATATGCCAGTTGGTAGATTTGTTTTGGGTTAATCCAGTTATTTACGGTAAATTTACTTTGGATAAGCAAAGCAAGTTGTCATTGCAATGCTCAGCCTGGTCTTACCGCTTAAAAATGCAGAGATGTAGTTGTTCACATTGGAACAACTACAAAAGCATTCTATGCTTTAAAGCCGGATTATTTTTACAGCAAAAATGCCAGCATAATAGGACTAATTCTATATCTTGAGAAGGTGGCTAGCACAACTATAATAAGCTGTGTGTTGTTTTGGATGTTTCATGTATACTTAACAATAGTGAAAAATGGGAATATTGTTAAGTGAGAATTCAAGTAACAGTTCTGTAATATTTAGACAAATTCAACTGAGTGGTGAATTCTGAGCAGATTTGTAGAATTTTGCTCAAGTCACTTATTACTCAATTATAGTGAATGAAGAGATTGAGTTTGGAATAATTTGCACTGTCAAAAGGAGTTTTACTTTGTTTAGAATTAAGACGCATGTTATGATAAAGTTTGATTTGAATCAATTTGAACTGCTTAATTATTTCGTTTAATAAAAAATAAATTCTATTTCATTTCTGACTGGTCTATCATATCAGTCTATCCCATAAGTCGTTATAGTTTGTAGCAATGGAAGATGCTGAGAAGAGGTCATTACTGAAGCCACAATTTAATAAAACACATTTAATAGTAATTTACTTTCTCTCTTGAGATATTAATTAGTTTGTGGTTGTTTATTAAATGTTCTGTTTAGAGATGCCAAGGTTGTTCCTGCTAGTTTTAGTGAGCAGATAGCTCCTTCTAGTGGTTGTTTATGCAGGATTGAAAATGAATACTGTAGCTAATAAAGCATAAAACATTGAGTATTTCAGAAATGGGTAGGTGCTTTCTAACCTGATGCTTTCTAATATTTTGGATGATATCTTCCACAATCCTACACAACTAGCCACTCTGGTCGAAACCTAAAATATTTGAAATTGCCTACTTTCTAGACAATAGGATTTACTTACTTATTTTGGTATTCCATTATTTTCTAAACTAAGACTGCTCTTTTTGTCTGTCCTATTTCTGTGCTTCCTATTATTTCCCAGTGATGTTCTCATGGGTAGGTTTGACTGTGTTAAGGCCACCATCATCAAATCCACACATTCTCAAGGACAATGAGATTTAGGTAGAATGATGAAAGGATGGCTTTAAGTAAGATAGATCAGATTAATGCACATTAATAGAACTTTCTCATTTAAGTCTTTTTGTTGTGAAGACACATAGAAATTAGAATGGCAAAGTGTATTATACTAAGACAAGCTCTAGAGAAATGTTGAAAGGACTATATATAATAATGATGTTGATATAATGCTTTCTATCTTTTTTCTTTTTTTTCTTTTTGTCTTCAGGATTCTCCTCTGAAAGCCGTACAGATGCTATGGGTCAATTTGATTATGGACACTTTTGCTTCTCTTGCTCTGGCTACGGAACCTCCCACAGAATCTCTTCTGCTAAGAAAACCATATGGTAGAAACAAAGCCCTTATTTCTCGTACCATGATGAAAAATATTCTGGGCCACGCTGTGTATCAACTCATTCTAATTTTTACCCTCCTTTTTGTTGGTAAGCTCAAAGGTCATTTATTGTTACTTTTTCAAGCTACAGACAATGAACTACTTGATTTCTGAATCTGCAAATGATACACAACATGGGATTTCACATAACATTGAACTTGTTCAGAATACATAATTCAAATAATGACTTCAGGAAATCCGGAGATTTATACACTCTTTGGTCTCCAACATTTTAAAACAAGTTGAAGTTTCAATAGGGCTTTATTACATGAAGTGGAGATCACCTACAACTTCCATTGATTGCATCGGGGTCTTCTTTTCCTTTCACATATTGTCAGAGCTTCACTGGTACAGAGTAATAAATAGCTCTCTGGAAACTCAGCTAGCAGTTAAAGATAGCAGGGAAAGAATCAATGACAGCACCCAGAAAAATAAGGTGCTGGTTGCAGACACATTAAACCTTAGTAATGAAGCAGATGAAGTACTGCAGAATCTAGCAATCCAGTCTTTTCCATGCAACAGTTTGGGGTTTAAATGTGCATTTTCCCCCTCTCAGTCTAATGGGGTAAATGACTTCCTGCCACTTGCTTCTTGACCTTGGATGTGGAGATCACTTATGCTATGAAGAGCTGTGGTGACGCAGTGATTAGAAATTCAATATTGCAGGATAACTCTGCTGACTGCTAGCAGTTCAATTCTGACTAGCTTATGATTGGCTCAGCCTTCAATCCTTCCGAGGTCGGTAAAATGAGGACACAGATTGTTGAAGCTCAACTTCATGCAAATGATGCAAATACAGTTTAATGTATACATAAAATGATAACTGGGCTATATTTTTTCTTGAACGTGTTTCGCTTCTTATCCAAGAAGCTTCTTTAGTTCTGACTGAATAGTGGAGGATGGAAGGATTTATATTCCTTGCAGTCATCTGGTATATAAATCCTTCCATCCTCCACCATTCAGTCAGAACGGAAGAAGTTTCTTGGATGAGAAGCGAAGTATCTTCAAGGAAAAACCAAGTCCAGTTGCCTTTCAGAAAAGCACCTTTGGGACAACCATGACCTGGATGACTGAGAATCTCCATAGATACATAAAATGATATTTTGTATATACAACAATGGCAACTGATATTATGTATTATACTATGGCATATAAGCCTCTCTGTTGGAAATAGGTTTACACAAAGATTAATCAAACAGATTAAGATAAGATAAGGTAAGGTAAGATAAGATAAGATAACCTTTATTGTCATTTTTTTTACTGTGGGCACAACGGCATACATTAAAAATGTGTGAATCATTAATGCACAGGTGCATCATTAATGCACAGAGAAGTGTGGCTGTGCTTGCCTTTTCTGAAATTGACAATGATCTCTTTGGTTTTTCTGGTATTTAAAAGCTGCAGTAGAAGAAATGAATTTTCAGATGTATTTATTTGTATATTAAACACATATCATCACCCAACTAAGGTAACTCGGTGCACCTTATATCATTAAAATACCTCTCTCCTAAATAAATTATAGTGATTGATGATTGAATTTTCTTCCTTCTTCAGTCTGAAAATGAGTTTATTAATTAATGATTTTTTGGATATAGTGGGAGAAGTTCAAAATGTTGACAGTACTGTACAAATTGGATTAATATTTTTTTCTGTTTGGAAACATTCTGGACCCAAGCTAAATCTAATCATGTATTTATTTTATACAGTAACATGTGTAAGTTTTGTTTTTGTTTTCCTTTTGTGCCAAAAAATATAAAAAGCTGAAGAGTCAAGAAAATATAGGACAATAGCAGCTAAAAATACATGCAGAGAAGAGTTGGCTTTAGAAAGCTAGGCAGAGCAGATAGGCCTCGGTTCTCCCAAAGCTCTAATCCTAACCTTTACTGCAAAGGGCAGCTCAGTGGCAATGACAGGAAACAGAAAAGAAACATAATCTTGGTTGCCATGGCAGGGGAGGATATATTTCAGTGATGAACAAGTCTGATCTCAGTTCCATGTCATCCTTGTGATCAAGTCACAGGTCAACTCAAACACAGTTTCTTCTTGGGTTTTAAGACAGAACCTGACAATTATCTTAACTCTTAACACCTGATCTTCTAACCTTTCATGTTACGGGATGATGAAACAAGGTCTAGAATTCTAGTGAATTTAATGCTTTATGTTTCTGCCTTATCTTTATGTGTTTAAAATGGAGAATCATAATTTCCTACTACCCGCCCCACCTCATTTTACTGACAGACCCGGTCCGTGTCTTGAAAATTTGACATATATATTTCTGTTGACTCATCCAACTGCAATGTTATCACCTCAGTTGCAAACAAAATTATAAAAACAATCAGGGGGTGTGGTTTGGAACCTTCTATACCAAAGGCAACTACACATTTCATTTACACTCATAGTTCTTTATCCAACCATTGCAAAATGATAATACAAATGAGAAAAAAATGAGCCTCTTATTTAAAAAAAAATAGAAAAGCCTAAAACAGATTTTTTTCCCTTCTCAGCAGCTATATTAACCATGTTGGAAGTTGAAGAAGTTAAAGCCATCACAGTCCTTCTTTTCATTTCATTGAGCATCTCTGTGATTTGATGAGTGCATAAAATTTTATTGTTTCAGTGCAGTTTTTAATTCTATTTCTTATTTGTTTTATTAATTAATGTATTGGCTCAACAAAGATGAAGAGCTTGTGAAAGAAAACAACTGGTAGTTCAGGTAGTCCTCAGCCCATGACTACAACTGAGCCCAAAATTTATGTTGTGAAGTGAGACCTTTGTTAAGTGGGTTTTGCCCCATTTTACCACTTTTCTTGCCACAGTTGTTAAGTGAATCATTGCAGGTTAAGTTAGTAACACAGTTGTTAAGTGACTTTGGCTTCCCCATTGACTTTGCCTGTCAGAAGGTCACCTGGAACACTGCCACCATCATAAATATGAACCAGTTGCCATGCATCCAAATTTTAATCATGTGACCATGGGGATGTGGGAAAACCATTATAAGTCATATTTTTCAGCTCTATTGTAACTTTGAACGGTCACTAAACAAACTGTTGTAAGTCAAGAACTAGCTGTCCAGTGAAAGACCTCGTAAAAATAACAACAACTGGTAGTACGTATTATCAAATTGTGGAGTCAAATCTTTTCCATGTATTCAGATATGCTATTGAAATCTGCCCACCATTTTACACAATGCTTATTTTGTGTCTTGGCAATTTCACTGTTTAATAGTCCTTTCATCTAGCAAAGCATTTAACTAGTTGAATGTTTTGATTGATTTAAAATATTTTGAGGCTTCTCTTCTCTTCTCTTCTCTTCTCTTCTCTTCTCTTCTCTTCTCTTCTCTTCTCTTCTCTTCTCTTCTCTTCTCTTCTCTTCTCTTCTCTTCTCTTCTCTTCTCTTCTTTCTCCTTATCAATTTATTTTCTTTCTTTTTTGCCCTATCTTGTTATTGGACTAGGCTTCCAGATACTTTCTTTTTTAAATGAATTTCTACTGATTTATTGAGCAGAATGACATTTCGGGTACTTCTTGTTTTATGGTATCATTTCTAAATGATTGAGCAAACCCCATTTCCTTTTAGCACTGTTAATGTTATCTAATTTGCTAACGAAACATCTGCAAGAAAATCACCAAGCTCAGAGAGCACCAAGGACTCCACAGTTCAACCCTGATAGAACCCTTTTCTATAAATTCTACACGAGTTTCTGTTGAAACTTAATAAACATGCATCCTGGATGCATCCTGGAGAAATGTATTTATATTTCATTTTTTCCATCTCAGTACTGTGATCTGAATGTAATTATTCTACTTCAATTCTAAATTATTTTAGAAGGAATAACAAAAAGTTATAATAGAATTTTCAATTACAATTCTAGATGAATTTGTCTTCTAGTTAATTAAAATCTATGTAGTATTACTTATCTTATTACAAAATACATTGTTATATGATTTACAACACTATCCAACTTTCTTTAGAGAAACTTTTGTCAGTGGTATTTTTAGCATCCTGATTTTATCAATTCACCAGATTCAAATACAGTAAAACCTTGCTTTAACAAACAAATGAGATAGGGGATTGGGAGAAAGGAAATTGTGGCCCAGGCACAGAATTTAAATCTGAATGTGGTTTTTCAAATGCCTAAAATGGTAAATGCAATTCTAATTATTTCACCCTTGCTTAAAATGGTAAGTGAGATTTAATGCATATATAGAAATACATGCATTGCATCTTATTCTGTTAAATCCAGGTACATTAAATTCAGGTTTACAGCATAATTACTTTCATAATAAGAAAGACTCTTACATTTGAAAATATCATTTTTGATACAATAAAACATACCCACTGATTAACTACATAAAAATAGTATGATGCCAGCTAATTTTTAGCGTTATGCAAATTTACTTTCATTCAGTTTCAATATTATTAGATGGTGTTATGTTTCATGAGTGGATAAAGCCTGTAGTTACATAATACACTGAAAATTTCCCATTAGATGTAAAGGAAGAACAGATAACCCATCAGTGATGGGCAGCCACTTTTTTTCCAGAGGGCAGCAGAGCTTCCATTATATAATAATATAACTGGAAGGGGAAGAATCTTCTAGATTTTTCTAGGAGATTGTTCTATACTTGTGGGGGGTTGTTTGTTAGTTTGCTTTGGGGAAGTTAAGGGTAGAAGTGGGAATAGAAGACATCTAGGAGGCCCTGGTGCCATTTCTATTTTTACTCTATTCCAAACTTCCCCAAAAGGAAGTTCAGTTGCACTACTGAAATTCCTAAGCAAACATTTGGTTTTCAGTGACTAGATTGGATATTGTAATTAGAGATAAATAGTCCTGTTTGTCTGAGACAAATTGTATTTTAAAAACTTCCACCTTGGAAATTATGGACTATGACATACTTGGAGAACAGATAGTTTGTTTCATAATTTTGGGGCAATGGTGATCTAGATGACCTAATAAAACATTGTGATGAGCTGGGAACAAATTATATCCTGAATTGAAACTTCAAATGATGTTTTTAAATTCTGTTTATTTTCTGCTTTCACCAGGTGAGAAAATGTTCAAGATCGATAGTGGCAGAAATGCACCACTCCACTCTCCACCTTCTGAGCACTACACCATCATCTTCAATACTTTTGTCATGATGCAGCTATTTAATGAAATCAATGCACGCAAAATCCATGGTGAAAGGAATGTTTTTGATGGCATCTTTAGAAACCCTATATTTTGCACTATTGTATTGGGTACATTTGCTGTACAGGTAATCATCTGACAATCCTAAGAGAGCCAGATATTGTTTGCATGCTTCACTGTACAGTCTTTCTCCCTTTTACACTTTCATCCTATATTATAGTCTTTTTTAAAAAAATCTAAAGACATATAAATCAATTGCTAATTTGGTCATTATTAAAGTTCTTTATATACATTTGAGCATTCCTGCAGCATTCCTGCTGTATGTCTTCTTTTCATAATGGAAGGAGAGTTGTGTTGATTGATTGATTTACTTCATTTATTTATTATACAGATATATAAGGCCACCCAATTCAAATTATGTGACTGGGTGGCATACAACATGATAGCAAATATAAATGTATTACATTAGAGGAAGAATATGTGAAGCCATCTCAAATCATGTGTGTATTTGTTGGGATTTGTGTTGGTGCTGTTGTTGTAGATTGGGGGCAAATTAGAAATCTGGGTTTGTTGTAGGGTCTGTCTCCTTCATTGTCCTTTGTTTCTTGTTGATTTTGAGAATCTGTTTCAGGCAGAGTAATTCTGTATGCAGTATAGGCTGTAGCTTATCAATAATGCATTTATTCTTTTCTTTGGTCCAAAAGCATGCTGGTATTATTTTCTTTAAGGAAGCAGAAAATAAAAATAGGAATTTTATTTTTTGGAAGAAAATACAAGAACAGGATTTGGGACTCTGATAGTCAATACATATTTCATTTTGTTCTTTCCTTCTGTAGATAGTAATTGTACAATTTGGTGGAAAACCTTTCAGTTGTTCTCCTTTGGAACTTGACCAATGGATGTGGTGTGTATTTATTGGATTAGGTGAACTTGTATGGGGGCAGGTAAGGACCATTTTCTTTGTATTCATTAGAAAATAAATTATATATTTCTATATTAAATATATATATTCTTGGAATAAGAAGTTTTTTTCAGGACAGTTACTTACATTCTGGGTAATTTTACAGCAGTAATCAAGGCTGTGCAAAGTATTTCAAATAAGTTGTCTAGCATATGTTGAAAAGCACTTCTCTGTTAATGATTGAAGGAGCTGCAAGGCTCATATTTCTATTTTGAAATTCATGTCTAGTTCTGAGCACATCTGCATGGGAGACAAGATTTTTGCTGGGCTGCCACATGTGACTGTTTTAATACTTCAAGGAAATATGTTCTATTTGATTAGCATGAGGTTCAACATTCTGCCATGTCTTTCTGTAAAGACTCTAATGAGACTTTGGGGAGATCTGGCAACAAGAATCTCGTGTATCTTTGGGACCAGCAAGAAGAGCTGAATTAGGTATTTTAGTTTCCAAAACTAGTGCTTTAGAGAATGCAGGAACACAACTGTAGCATTGTCTATGACACCTTAAAGCCAACACACTCTTTCCTGCATTATAGAATCTCAGGAAAGACGCAACTACTTTAAAGCAGTGCTATATTTATGCTTCCACATCCTTTTTTTTTTGAGACTAAATTTGAAGTATTGCTCAGATCATGGATGAGATTCGTAGAGTACACAGATACACATGGTTCATTCAGTAAATGAAGGATTCCTAGATGGTAATTCTCCAAGTCAACCATGTGATCAACAAAATGGCTTTTCTTAGAATTCCATGTCTCTTTCTCTCACTTTTACTTTTTACCCTCCAATGTCTACAAGGGAGAGTATGAAAGGTGGGTAGAATGAGTACCAAAGGTACGTCTCACCCAACTCTGTTTGGCATTGACCCTGATTTCTTCTTTAATTTAGCATTTCTTTTTTCTTTTTTAAAAAAGAGAGAGAACGACAGTCCCCCTGTACCTTTGTGGAAGATAGTAATGATGGCCACTGCCTTTTTTCACTGGGCATCTGCAAGCATTTATCCCAAAGGGATTATTGGTTCTCAGTCTTTTAATTCAAATATAGCCTTACCCTGATCCATTGTCCTCTATTCCTAATTCATTGAAGGGGATTAAGATGGGAAAGTCTGCTTTAAAGCTTTTGGGCTAATATTTGTCTGATCAGTCCCTGTGTATAATTTTTCCCCCTAAGGTATCATTTGTATTTTTTGTATTCTGTACATTTTCATATTCTCCCTGCAAACTTTGTCTCTTGGCATAATTATAATGTTTTTTTAGGTCATTGCAAGCATCCCAGCCAGTAGGTTAAAATTTCTAAAGGAAGCAGGGGGGCTTACATTAAAAGAAGAAGTGCCCGAAGAGGAAATGAGTGAAGATGTAGAAGAGATTGATCATGCAGAGAGGGAACTTCGCCGCGGGCAAATCCTCTGGTTCAGAGGGCTTAATAGAATCCAAACTCAGGTATGTTGGACAAAAATATTCTCCAGGAGAACAATGACAATAGCAATAATAATGCAAATGCAAACTACAGCCTTAAATCAACCTTTCCCAATCCTCCAGGTATATTGAACTTTAATTCGATCATCCTCAGTTAGAATATTAGTTCAGTACAGGCCAACAGGTTGTTTACTCGTTTTGCTTTCATTTTTCTGGAAGTTACTGTAACAGGTCTATATACATATGTATATTACTGTGTAATTAAGGCTTGCATGAATTCAGAGTATTATATTACAGTTCTAAACAATGTGTTCCTCCAATCTATTTTGATTTTTCAAATAACACATTCTCCATTTTTCGATTGTGACCTATATTTTTAGACTCTCAAAAAATATGTCTTCAATCAATTTTAAAATGGTTTACATTTTTATTGTATATGGTCATTGAAACCTAAACTACATAGGCTAAGAAAACATTTTTTTATGATGCTGCCTTTCTGTTAGCTTAAGGTTTTATGTTCCATTGATTTGTTATATAATTGTTTTACAAAACATAAGGGAAAAACACTGCACCAGCATTATCTGTGAATGGGTAAAAATAAACAGAAATGTGTGGATTAAAAATTATAACAAACTTTTTAGTAAATATATTCAAATCCTTGATTTCTCTGTTTCTGTACAGGGCTCTTAGTCATTGCAGAGAAAGTATAGATAGCACTAAAAACAGACATTTTGAAAAGGCACACTCTTAAAATGCCACGAAGGAATGAATGTTTGTAAGGTCAAAACACGATTTATTTCTGCAGACCATGTTAATCTGTGTTACAGTAAGTGCAGCCTCATTTTATACTGTGAGAGACTTTCTTTTTAAAGAAGAAATATATTTGATAGAAAATAAAATGTACATCAGCCCAGTGCACTCGGTTTGTTGCTGTCTATGGAAATCAGAAATTAAAAACAGGAAAGTTAGTATTAGATGGAGAGTAACACGTAGGAAGATAAATCTACATTACTTAGTAATTCAGTAAAAAGCTGCTAACTTAAATTAAATCAATAATTTACTAGCAATTTTTAGGAAAGGTTTTTTTTCAAAATGTATTCCCTGGGAGAAGCTATTATCTACCTTGAGTTTCCTCTAAATGTGGGTTATTTTCTTCCTGGTGGCTGTAGGAGGACTGTTGTCTGTTGAGATTTCTATCAGGATGTCTTTCTGGTTGTGGTGAGTGTAAACAACAAAGAACCAACTCTCCACTTAATTCCTCTCATAGATTTAAAAATAGCCTTTAGTTCTTTTGTATGTTTTTATCTTCATGATCCATGGAAAATTCTTCTCTTCTTAACTGTTTAAACCAAAATAAACAATAATTATGCTTTCTTGCTAACCAACATACTTCTCTTTTTACTTAGATGTAGATACATAACTGTAGGAATTTTAGCAATATATCTTACAATAATTCCTCACTACTTTGTACCCTTCTATTTTTGTGTTAATTTGCAATCAATGAAGAATTAAGAGTTTTAAAAATACTTTTGGTGTACACACTGAACAAATACATATATATATATATATATATATATATTAAGTTTACATTAGTTCATATTAGTTATGAGTTAACAAGAGGTGATTAGGAAACCTTGCTGTTTTATGAGTAGAGACTTATTGTCATCATCCAAAGTTTTATGGCCTCTGGAAACATGAAGAAGATAGAGCATCTCTCCACTTTCTTCATAGACATATTTTGAAGAGACGAAAGGTAATTGGATATGTATTCCTTTGCTTCTCTTCATACTGTAGGAAGACATGAGATTGACAGAGAAAAATCTCTAATTTCAATCTCAGTTTTATTCCATCTTTTCCATAGAACTTACAAAAAACAGAAGAGAATGGACTTTGCTGTATCAAAAAGCAATTCCCCTTCTTCACCTATCCTTTTCACCTGTAGGATCTGTATAGATTTTTAAAACACAGAAATTAAGTTACTATATTTCCAAGAAAATAGCAATTCAATTTCTATTTCTCATAAGCATACCTAGAAATACAGTAATGGAATATGACAACATAGAATAAGTGCAAATCCGGTGGGTTAATATAGTAGGTGTTATTCTTTGATCTGCCTTAATTTGCCCAGTTGAAAGTGACTTTTTTTTCTCTTCTTCCATGTCTAGATCAAATTTTAAACTGTCAGAATGAAGTTACCTTCTTGGCGTTGCCAAGTCATTATCAATACATGTTATAAATAGATGTTTCTAGTAGTAGCTGACATGCCCGCAAATGGGCTGGGCTGTGTGTCTCTCCACTTTCATACAGCATGTTGTTATCTGCTAAAAGCTTCCACTTGAGCATATTGCTTTTACACTTAGGCACTTCAGCTCTTAACCTATTCAGGGTCCTCCAAGTAGAACAAGGAAGATCAGATCCTTCAGCCATATCCTCCTTTAATGTTATTCCTTGCTTGAGGTCTCCTTCTTCCTCCTTTTCATTTTATTTTGTTCTTGTGTACCCTCAAGAATGTTTGTTCTTGCCATAAAGCTGTTCCCAGATCTGAGTTGGGCTTGTCTGTTCAGAGGATAGCCACTCAGAGGAAGTTGAGGATCATTCTCTTGCTTAAAAGTGACGTTGAATTGTTTTATGATATGATATGTGTAAATAGAGATTTCTGTCTTAACATTGGCTACAGCACAATTTTATCATTGTGCTGTAGCCAATATGTTCTGATAGCTGTGAAGTGGACACAGTTTCAGGAAATCCCATTTTTATGGGGTTTTCTAGGATATTTCCTCAGAATTGAGAGAGGAGAGCCAATCAGTAAATAGTTCATAGACTATCAGGCAGTTATTTTAGCCATAAACAAAATATAAATCTGTAGGTTTTCAAGAAGAGATTGGACAGCCATTTTTCCAAAATGGTATAGGGCAGGGGTAGTCAACCTTGGCTCTTTTATGACTCGTGGACTTGAACTCCCAGTGCTGGCTCAGGAATTCTGGGAGTTCAAGTCCACGAGTCATAAAAGAGCCAAGGTTGACTACCCCTGGTATAGGGTCTCCTGCTTAGGAAGGGAGTTGGACTAGAAGATTTCTAAGGCCCCTTTCAGCTCTGTGGTTCTGTTAGTTATTTGGAGTTTCACCATGTTCCATTCATAGCAGTTTCTTAACACATATTCTAAAAAATTGCCATATTGGAGAGTATATCATGATCCTGGATTAGAATAGTTTAATCCAGAAAATATATTTATTTTTAATTTAAGAATATTAATTTATTTAGGTAAGTAAGCATTTCTTAATATTAAGGATGAAAGTCCTTTTGAGCCAAACTCATTTTCCTTTGTGTAAATTAGCTTTTCTATTGTAATTTGAAGCCGAGTCATTAATCAAGAATAAAACATTGTACAAGATTATCATGATTAATGTAGTTCATGTTTATAATATCTAAAATATTGTACATTTAGTTCCATTCACGTAGCTGAATTTTCAGATGTTCTCTTCATGTCAGCAGATCCTTAAGTTTTTGAACAAACCATAGTGTTAACATCTGGTTATGAAGCACAAAGAACTATTATCAGGATAAAAATACTCAGTGTAGATATTGAGAATATAAACTACAATGGATTAGGTCTTTTAAGTCATTTTAGATGCTATATTACTTATTGTATACACATAAGTTTTTTATTGTAATGAAAAAATTCTGTTGTACTCTCTTTAAAACTTCAAAAGCGCTAATAACATATTTTCATTTCAAAAAGATAGAGTTGCTGGATTGTTAAATTGATTAAGTAAGTCTAACTAAAAATCACTACTACAAAATATAACCCTGTGTTCATACAACACTATTTTGCAGGAAGAACTCTTCATGGGTTGTGAGAGGTAAACATTTTGGAGAATGACTCAGTGGTTCAGATTAGCTTAATTCAGGGGTAGTCAACCTTGGCTTAATTCATACTAGAGATTGCTCATGTCAGAAGCAATCTGCAACAGAACCAGGTTTGCTCCCACTCAAGAGTTAGAGAATATTTGCTGGATTCCTAGATTGAATGGCAGTTTAAACATTTCTTTCTCTGAGATTCAAAAGAAGATTCCCTGACATCCTAGTAAATGCTTGGGGAAGGGGAGGGTACATCTATCCTTAACAAAATCATGGATATCCAGGGCGTAGGTAGCAAATGGTGACAAGTATGTGATGATGTAATCATGAAAATTCCTCTTCTTATAAATGCAAGACATAATTGTAGCATTTACATGACTGCATCATCACATATGAATTGTCATTTTGCTGTGGACACCACTGATGACAGTGGTGCAAGGGAGCTTTGGTGCAAGGGAGTAGACGTGATTAAACGGGTCTCACATTGGGTATTTGTGGCAACAAGGCATATTTGCAAGATTATATATCCAATATGAATTTTAAAAGAATTGCCCAATCTTTCTCCCTTGGCTACTTTGTTCTCCTTCCCATTAAAAATTCAATTTGAAAAATTCAAGTTATCTGCAGGTTTATTTTGTCTATATTTCAATTTTACCTTTATTATTGTTTGCCTTTTTGTCTTAATCTTTGTATAATGCCGGCATGGACAATATGTATAATGTTGGGAGAGAACATAGATGAAAAGTAGATGGAATTATTTTGATTTTTTTATCTGGTTGATTTGTTTTGATTCTGGATTTGGTAGAAGGCTTTTTTTTAATGATGTCACCCTATTTTAATACTTACATTGCATTTCTTGTATATTTCCTGTCTAAACATGGTGATAAATGTCTCTGACTTTTAGCATGTCTTTGAGAGGTGCAAAAAAAAAAAAAAGTCGTATTACCTGCAGTTCTTGAATCTCTAGTTGCCTTTCATAAATAATTGTTTCATTTGTTACAAATGCTATCCATGACTTTATTCATTGTAATTTAAAAACAATTATTATTATTTATAATTATAATCCTATAACTCTATAGAAAGGAAGAGTAGTATTATGCCTTTTATTGCACAATTGATGTGTAAGAGAAAGAGAGATCCAAAACCAGATGATAATTCATAGACAA